TTGAGGATCGCTGTGATAGTGGGCCTCACGTTTTAGGTTTTGAACCAACATCATGGCACATGGGTAGTAACCCATAAGGGCTCGGTTCTTCTTCTAACTCAAGTCTGAGTCCGAAGAAGCTCAGTACAGTGCAAAGGCTCTGTAAATCCAGTAAGGATCCTGAAATACTTTGGATTTCACCCGGGCAGTGCCGTTAGCCTACTTTTTTCGATTCCCAACTGCCAAGGGATTTTTACGTGAGCAACAATACACACGGGCGTTTAATCTCACTACCCAGAGACCAGGGAGAATTACTAGAAGTCTAAGTTCACGTAAAAAGTGAAAAAAATCCCAGGCGGGAACCTTTTGCACTCGAGGTGGACACCTGGAGACCACGCAGCTTCCTGTTCCAATCTCAATGAAGACAAAGCCCGGCTCTCTAGCGTAGTTGGCTAAACCGGATTGCGCGGTGACCGGATGACGAACTCCTTGTGGTCCGGGTTTACTCCCGGGGGTAGGCAGAAAAGCCACATTTTCTCCCAGATTTACCGTATTTGCAATGGAATCAAGGCCGAAATGTTGCGATATCCATAATACCGAGCCTAAGGATTAACAACTCATGGCTTCTGGATACTAAAAACAAAACATAGCTCATGAAAATATGGCTAGCAGGATAGCGTTTACGGACCCCCTGGTTTAAATTTTCTGACAGAAGGATCAAAGAGGAAACACAATGGGGTACTGTAATTCTTAACATATGTCTTTGTAGGGATCTTCTGTTTTCTAATTCACGAGCTGTAAACGCCGTTAATAAATTTTGGTTGTTCGTCCACTTCTGGATTTTAGTCTTATTTTAGAACTTGAGTTTTGCGTGCACGTCTGCTTCACAGATCTGGCTAAGCTTGTTCAAGAACTTGAGTTGTGCATGCATATCCGTTTCACAGATCTGGCTTCTTCGTATGCAAACTTTTAGTTCTTCGCCTTTTCAGGTAGCTACATTTCAACTTCAGAAGGAAACCCGTAAGTAGTCGCCTTTTATGACATGCTTTCAAACTACGCGATGATTTGTGCTACTAACAAGTAGCCAAGGTCTTTGAAGAGATCAATTACCGGTTTGCTCGTATCAAGCGTCTTTGTGGAGACCAGTCTAACGCTAAGCTTTTCAGAAACGTCTTTGTAATGAGGAGTGTTTTTACAAATGTAATAGGTATTGAAACAGATTTTGCAGACCTAATTTCTCTGGTTATAATCTCCTGTCTGATATCATTCTATCTTCACAGCTTAGGAACTCAGCCAGCCCCCCCCCCCCAACCCCCACCCCCATTTTTTTTTTTTGACTTCACAGCACTTGGAATTTTGCCATACACACTCCTGATTACTGAGTTAAGAACCGACATCACAGCTCTTGGGACATTACCATACTCACTCCTAATTATTGATTACTGAGTTGAAAACCGACATCACAGCTCTTTGGGACAATACCATACTCGCTACTGATTACTGATTACTGAGTTAAGAATCGATAGCATAGCTCTTGGGACATTACTATACTCACCCCTAATTACTGATTACTGAGTTAAGAACTGACATCACAGCTCTTGGGACAATACCATACTCGCTACTGATTACTAACTACTTAGTTAAGAAGCGATATCATAGTTCACCGAACATACATATAGGTGCTCCGTCTCCAGCAGCAAATGTCTTAAGGTGTAGCTTAACTTAGTGTTCCCATAGCCCATTGATTATAGACACATCGTTCTCTTCCTCTCATACGCCCCTTCTTGCCGGGTCCACCCGTGATTCCTTGTTGTAACATTCTTATACATGTTATTTCATATTAACTCTTGTCTTCTGTCAACGTTCGTTTATATATGGTCTTCAAAGTATCTCCCTTATGCAGTATGAGTGTTCCCATAGCTATCGCTTTTGTAGACAGAAAATCGGCTTTTTCATTACCTCGTACTGCTGCACATTCCGGACAGTATATCCACGTGATTTCCTGCAATGTTGGCGTACTAATGCTTGGTATCCACTCATGCCAGGTTAGTCCATTTTGAACCTTCAGAAGTACCGACTGAGAATCAGAAACAATAATTTCTCAAGTAACTTCCTTTTCTGCCATCCACTTCAGAGCTGCAGTGATTGACTCTACCTCCATCCTCATGCTTGAAGTTATGGGGGGGAAAAGTTTTTTTTTTTTTCGGCCACAATCTTTCCCTTCATTCTAGCTGAAAATCCCCAACCAGATCTTACACCCGGACGAACAGAACCATTGGTGTACACTACTGCATTATCTAGCCCAGCGTTTTCATCTAACAGTTGTGCCTATAATTCTGCTATACTGTTACACCACTCTCTACATTCTCTTCCTAATGTGAAAATGACCTGATGGAAACAGCTGTTGAGGGTGTTCGTGTCAACCTATTCCTGCCTCCTGTGTATTTGCTCGACTGAGGCCGCCGTCTCGATGGTCTGTCCGGCGTCAGCATCTTTCCTTCAGTTTCTAGTTCTGTGGAATTTGTTTAGTTCTTTGTCAAACCTACACTAGATTACAACTTGAATTGTGAATAGTTTCCATTTTATCTGGATTGATCTGAAAAACGCAGATCACAGAAAAACTAGTTCCGCCTTAAGGGGATTTGAAAACATGACCAGCCTCTCATAAGCAACCGTGCTAGCTACTGATTAGCTGCATTTGCATTATGCTATATCATTATTTAAAGGCAATCAATACAATATTTACCTTCTGCTAAATTAAATCTAAATTAATAACAGAGTGTTTTTTTAGGCTTGAGAATTGACGTAGATACAATTCTCAATTTAAAATAAATTATTTTTTAGCAGCAGGGAATTAATATTAAATGTCCGTTTCTGTTATGTGTGGTTTTACGTTAAAAAAAAAAAGAGTGGGTAATTGAGATTAATTAAACGCTTCGCAGAATTACGCCGGTGTTTGTGTGGTGAGGGGCGACTGGCCGAACGGTTAGAAAATTGGGCTTTCTTGCGGGAGACTCGGGTTCGAATCCTCGGTAAGGCTAGGGATTTTTTTCTGTCAGGTGCAAAAAAAAAAAATTCTCACCTGCACAGTCGTAGCGACAGCACTAGTCATGTATGTGGCCATAGATCCTAAGGCTCATAAGACCCCCTCCCCCCTCGAGCCTACACCGCAGAAGAGGTATTTAAGGGCAGTAATTTGCAGATTTGGCAGTTTGTGTGGTTGGTTCCATACACGAGAAGCAAGACGTTAGCGAGAACCATGTGAGGACTGTGTCTGTAACCATGCTCAGAATTCGAGAAAAAGCAAGTACAAACGAGTGTCGCCAAACAGGAGCATTATAAAGGATGCTCAGGTTTCACCGGGGCCCTCACGGAAAGTAAAGAATAGTGAGACTGCACCCTACCAGGCAAGTCGCACGAGGCGACTAAGGGTAGGGTTAAGCTTGAGGTCGGCTACCTCATCCTGTAAAAACAAACCAACCATGGATAAGTCAAAGGGAGAGTTAAACTCAGCCAACCACAGATAAGGGGAGGCTCTTCAAGTAGAATAATTTATAAACTCTACGACATGGCCATTGGCGGGTAAAAGACTCCATAACCCCCCTCCCCCCCCCCCAACCCCCGCTGACTTGCAGGGTAAGTCTCTTTAGACAAAGGCTATTGGATTCAAACCATATACAAACTGGCGGAAGGCAAGGGGAAAGCACCGCTGCATTATCACTAGTAAATCATGAATCAAAATATTACGAATTCAGATAACGATGTGAATGGGGATCGAACGGTAGGGAGCATCATGTTCTACGGATGATACCTGACCGTCATCCAGATACTATAGAAAAAGTAAATGGTAGAAACATCCTGAACATTGGTACATGGAATGTCAGAACACTCGTACAAAACGGAAAGCTGGATAACGTCAAGTTGGAAATGAAGAGAATGAACATCAACATATTAGGAATTAGTGAAATGCGATGGCCAAGAGCAGGGAAAAAGTTTTCAGATCAGCCAGAATTATTTACTCAGGTGGGAAGGAATATAGTAAGGAGGTTGGTATTATTTTGGATCCAAAGAACTCAAAAACTGTGAAAGTATTTTGGACAATTTCAGAGAACTATTAGTAATTCAAAGAAAGATATTGACGCATTTTATGATGAGTTAGACATGGCTGTTGATCAATGCAAAAATTGTAAATGGTACTTGGAGATTGCAACGTGAAAATAGGAAGTTAAAAAGTGTACGGAATAACGGGTGGCTATGGTCTAGGGGCATAGCTTGTTTCAACAGTGGTATCAGGGGGCCGACCGTCCAGGAAGCAATGGCCAACTACTGAACGTAACTTTTCCTAGAGAAACCACACAACAACCAGGGGCTGCTGGTGTTGGCTCTGCAATGTCCTGTAAAGGATACGCAATTAACCTTATGGCCTAGTTAGTTAGTTAGTTAGTTAGTTAGTTAGTTAGTTAGTTAGTTAGTTAGTTAGTTAGTTAGTTAGTTAGTTAGTTAGTTAGTTAGTTAGTTAGTTAGTTAGTTAGTTAGTTAGTTAGTTAGTTAGTTGGGTTATCCTCATTGCACTCCGGACATGTCCATAGGTGCTCAGATCCTCCCCTCAGTATGAACCCCAACGTCCGATGGCTAATAGTACCAGTTCTATGTTGATTAACAAGTCTTCTGGCGTAGCTGGTGTGCGTCTCGTTTTTTGCTGTGCTGATCTTAATTCCCAAGTCTGCCATTCTGGCGAGTGATGTGGATTCACTGCCACCAAAGTCCTCTATCCTTCCCATTTCTCTGAGGGCATTGATAATATCAGCATGATCCATAGGCTGACCGTCGGTAGTGATAGCGGATCCAGCCAACCTGTCAGCTCTTTCATTTCCATCGACGCCTGCGTGTCCCGGAACAAAAATAAAGGTGACTCC